GTCCGGCTACGGCTTCAACGTGCGGGGCCAAGTGAGCGAGGGCGGGCAGCTGCGGAGCATCAACGGGGAGCTGTACGCGCCGCTGCAGCATGTGAGCGCCGTGCTGCCCGGGGGGGCGGCCGATCGCGCCGGGGTGCGCAAGGGGGACCGCATTCTGGAGGTGTGAGTATCCGGGCTGCGGGCCGCCCCATCCCCTCCGCCTGTCGGTGCATCTCCCCTCTACCCTGTCACCCTCAGGCCGCACCTCCCCCCAGCCCTAACCCGACCCTCGGGACCCCCGCCCCCCTCGGGCCTCGCACCTCCTGGGGTTGACTCTTCCACCTCCCACACCCTGGCTTTCTGCGACTCCCACCTCGCTCCCTTCAGTCTTCGGTTGGTGTCCCTGCGCCCTTACCGCTGTTACCCCCGCCCCCATTCCTTTGGCTCCTCTACCCCTTTGCCTTCCCCGTGGGCATGTTGCTGGCTGCTCCTCGCCGCTCCCGCTTTGCTCTTAATGAACCTCTCTTGCTGCTCACCGGCAGCGTCTCCTCTGACCCCGCCGCTGTGTGTCCTCCCCGAGTTCTCACCCTGAGCATCGTAGTTTGTTCTCCACACTCCCTTCAGCCCCAGTGGACCGTCCCTCTGCCCTCTGGCCCAGGAGGGAGGACCTGTGTCTCCTACTTTTCCTCCGGAACCTCCTCCCTCCACGCTGCACTCCGTTTTCTTTGCTCAGTCACCCTCTCCTGACGGTTAGGCATGCCCTGATTTTTGTTGTCCCGCCGTGTGCCCCTTCCTCCCTTCCTTTTTGTGTTCATCCTCCTAGTACACCTTCTTTTCTGACCCTTGCGTGCCTTTTTTTTTGTTTTGTTTGTTTGTGCGTGTGTGTGGTTGGTTGGGGTTTATTTTGGCGGTGGTGGGGTCTTCGACACAACCTTTGACGCTCCAGTTCCCCTTCCCAGCAGCCTCCGTATTACACCGTGATGCTGAATCTAGTGTCTCCATCACAGCAACCCTCTGAGAGCGCCCCTGTTCTGTCCCCGTGTTCACTCCTGCACCGTACTCATACTTTTGTTTTAGTCTGCAGTTACAACCCCTTTTTGGGTCTTTGACCTCCCCGCTTTTTCAGGCCACGCTGTTTCCACTCGCTCTCCTACTCTACCCTCTTGTGATCCCACTCTGGACTTTATCCTGATCTTCCTCACCCCGCGGTTGCTTTCCCTCCCAGCTCTGTTTAGGCCCCTTCGGCTGCTGCAGCCCCTCCCCCTTTGTACTCCTCCATCCTTACTTGCCCACTGCATCCCTTAATGCTCGTCGTCTTTGATTTCTGTGCAGACCTCCTCCGCTACTCTCATCCAGGAGCTACATTTGTGTGGCTTTTGTACGTTGTGTTGAAATCTGTATAGTGCTTGCTGATTGACTGGTAGGTGGCGTATGCTCTCATTATCTCCATTCTCCCCAGCAGCCTTCCAGGCTGTATACCTCTCCTTGCTCAATCTATTTTGTACATTCTTTTTTTACACCGTTCTGCTGCCCTCTCCCTCAGTGCTTGGATTTGCTCTCATGAAGTTGACCTCATTTTTTCATAGATGCTATTTTAATTATAATTTCTCCAAGCTTCAGGCTTTCCTCAGGTAAAACAGTAGGTTTGCTCAAGGTTTCAAAGAGGATAGGATCCTGAAGGTATGGCATATAGAGGAGCCCATCCTTTCTTGCTCACCTTATGCCCCCTGCCCTTACCTTTGATGTTTTTACTCTGTGGTAGCCACTTATTCTATTTCCTCTTACCTTCCACCTCAAGAAAGAGTAACTCACCAAAACAGGTGATTGGAGCTATAGGTATAAAAACTTACCTCTGTCCTTCCTGTGAATAGATGCTTTCTTGTCTGTTAATGTCCTCCATACTATTTTCTAGTATTCCCTGGCAATATATTCTGAATCTTTTGGGACTAAGGGCATTTAGATACAGAATGTAATAGTGAACTTTTGTGTTGTGCTGCGGCACTTAATTCTTTTCTTTTTAAATAACTCAAAGCCTGTGGTCAATGTTTCCTTCCAATAGAAGCTTTTGGAATTATCATTTTCATTTCCCTTTGTAAGTTAACTTTGGATCCATCTATTTGTTTGTTTTCAAATTTAAAACTAAAATACTTATTTAAAATTTTAAAATCTTAAAGTTCTAAACCATTTACTCTTTACTGGAGCTAAAGGAAGGAACTAAACTAAAATAATTTTGTAGAAGACTACAGCTAATGTGATTGACGATTTCATATATATACATTTACACACATATATATATGCCAACTAACATAGTTGCTGGCCTCCTGCCTTTATTGTGGTTTTTGCAGCAGAGTCCAGATATAAAGTAGATATTGTAAAGGAAACCTCAGGTTATCCCTAGGACAGAGCTTGCCTCAGACCCAAGTTCCAGTCTAGGTCTGTTCCTCTTCCTAGGAAAAAACATCGCATTTTGGCACATTCTTGGTGGTGAGTAGAGAACTTTGTCTCTTTTATTGGGCAGAGCAAAAGAACACTCTTTGCTTAGAGAACCTTTCTCTGGAAAGTTGTGATGATCAGACATCTTCCTGACATTGGTTTCTCTCCTTCCTAACTATATTTTGATTTCCAAATTCTTTTAAGCTTCTCTGCTACTATGGTGGAAACAGTGATAGTTGCAACACAGAACTGAGCTAGTTGTTAAATTCTCTGAAACCTCAACTACTATTGACCCTAAATATCATGGGTTTGAATTGCATGGGTCCATTTGTATGCAATAATTACCTGTACTGTTTCATTCTGCTGTTGGGATGATGTGGAGCACCAACTGCAAGCATTGAGCTACGCCATTTTATATAGGGGACTTGAGCATCCTCAGATTTTAAGATCTTGGGGGAGGGTGTTCCTGGAACCAATCCCCCAAGGATACTGAGGGAAAACTCAAGTTTTTGGGGAGTCAAAGTTATTTATGGATTTTCGACTGTACAGAGGTCAGTTTCCCTAACCCCCACCTTTAGGGTTCAGCTGTGTACAATTTTTTTCTTTCCTTCCCTTTTTCTAAAATCTGCATCTTTTCCTTAGGTTTTCAAGTGAGGAGGGAATCAGCAAGCAGACAGACATGATTCTTGAGGGCTGTGTCTGCTGCTTGTTTTTATCTTGATTAGGTTGATGCTAAGCTTCCTAAAGCATTCTCTTTTTTAAATATATCTATTGATTTCAGGGAGAGGAAGGGAGAGGGAGAGAGAGTTGAAACATCAATGATGAGAGAGTCGTTGATCGGCTGCCTCCTGTATGCCTGCAGCTGGGGATCGAGCCCACAACCCGGGCATGTGCCCTGACCGGGAATCGAACCAGGATCTCCTGGATCCTAGGTCCATACTCAAATGCTGAGCCACGCCTGGCTGGGCACCTAAAGCATTCTTTAGGCAACATTCCTTAGAGGTTTTTTTCCTCTGACTCACCCAAGTTCCTTAAGTTAACATCTCTTGTCTCAGGAAAGCTTTCTAAATTGATTAAGTGCCAAGTGGGGCCAAGATTAGGCATACATAGACTATTATTATGTAGATATAATTTGTATGAAGTCATAGGTGAATGTATGGACCTTGATAATTGCTTTTTAACCAAGACTTTTCCTTATTTTATTTTTTAAATATATATCTTTATTGATTTCAGAGAAAGGGAGAGAGAGAGAGAGAGAGAGAGAGAAACATCGGTCATGAGAAAGCTGTCATTGATCGGCTGCCTCCTGCACACCCCCTAATGGGGATCGAGCCCGAAACCCAGGCATGTGCCCTGACTGGGAATTGAACCTCTGTCTTCTGGATCCTAGGTCAATGCTCAACCGCTGATGCACACCCAGCTGGGCACCAAGACTTTTCCTTATTTTAGATGGTTTCTTCCTGTGTACAATAATTTTATTCCAATTTTCACATACTACAGTTGTATGGACAACTGTTAGAGGTGTGAAAGAGAGTAACTGAGATTTAAGGTAACAGGCTTGGGCAAGAGGAAGAACATCAATTTCTTTGTATTTTAAAGTCTTTACCAAGGGCTCATCCTCACTGAATCTTGGAATAGTTGTTAAACTAAATTCACTCTGGTTCAGTGTGTCCTTTTTCCCTTTAAGACTGACTTGATTCTGACTGGTTTAGGAAAGAGTCATGTTGCAGGGCCTGGTACTAGAGTAAGAACAAGCCCTCTGGTTCTAAATTTTACTGCAGATGGAATGTTTTCTTGACTAGCAATGTTGTTTCCACCTTGTAATTTTCCCCAGTGTAACATATATTGAGTATCTTCCCTTTGATGTGAATATACCTGGAGGCTAATGAGTGAAGGATGCTTTCAACAAATAGAACCAAAATAAATATATCTTTCCACTAATTATATAGTATGTGAAGTAACATTTAACTTAAGGTTAATTTTCTTGAGGTTCAAGTAAGTTCCGAGGGCTCTTGAGCGATACCTTTAGGAGGGTTAGGTGTGCAGTGGATATGGATAGGTACTGTCTATATTTTTGAGGGATTAGGTTTGTCTGTTGGCTAGTTTGTTTTGCCCCTTTGGTATTTGGGTAGTGTGATCTGTATTAAGCATGGACTCCTAAGGTTGGCTTGCAACCATTCAAAATTACGATACTATATTTATGTAGTATATTAGGCAGAGAGTATATGCCTGCCTCCTTGATAGCTGTAGGATAATATACCCATCAACTTTACCTTGTTAAAGTTAAACCATAAGAAAAATTAAAGTTATACATACGCAAATAAATTTATTTATTGAAATTAAAAAAAAAATTTATTGGGGTAACATTGGTTAATAACATTATATAAGTTTCAGGTGTATAATTTTATAATACATCTCCTGTATATTGCATTGTGTTCTCACCACCTAGAGTCTAGTCTCCTTCCGTCACCGTGTATTTGACTATTGAGAGTTAATTTTACAAATATCTCATGGACATTCTTTTGTTTTTTTCTTCCTTTATATGAAAGTTTGAAAACGATTGTGGGACAAGAAGTACTTTTACGAGTTAAGTGTGAGTCATGTAACATTGACTGCTAAGTAGCTCTGTAGCTCTCAAGAGCTGCTTAGTTGTAGCTGAATTCTATTTGGCTCAAATTTTCCAGGTCATTTTTGGAAATTGTTTGAAATTATGGTTTTTGATCAAGGAATTTTTATGGCAGTGATTCTCA